TAACAACGATGGCAATAACAGTTGCAATTATAATGATAATAATGATAAACGAATAACAATAATAATAATAATAATAATAATAATAATAATAATATAATAATAATAATAATAATAATAATAATAATAATAATATAATAATAATAATAATAATAATAATAATAATAATAATAAGACAATAATAATAAATTAATTTTGAGATTTTTCGGAATCAGTAATAATAATAATAATAATAATAATAATAATAATAATAAGACTATAACAATAACAGTAATGATAATAAAAAGAGCAACAATAACAATGGTAACAGAAAACAACAAACAATGACCCCTAAGTACAAATATTTATAAAACGAAATTTTAAAACAAAATTATCAACCTTTCATACACAGTGCGTATAACAAATAAATACAAAACAATAGAGCCAGAAGTTCAAAAAAAAAATTGAAATTAAGTTGAAAAAATTTGATAACGAAGTGAAAAACCTCTTTTAGGAAAACGAGTGGATAAAGCAACTTCTCGTGGCAGATAATGTCCGTTCTTCCATCGAAATTTCCGTCACAGCCCTTTAAAAGCAACAACGGAATTGCTATGGTTGTTTAAAAAGAAGCATCGATTAAAGGGCCAATATGGGGAGAGAAAAGGAAGGGAGAGAGAAAGAAACAGAGAGGAAGGGAGAAGAGAGGGGCCCGATGTTGCTCTTACTTTTATTGTTGTCGTTGTTGTTGGCGGTGATGGTGATGGTGCCCGTTGGTGTTTTTGTTGCTGCCGTTGCTGCCGCCACAGTCCGGGCCCGTCGCCGTGTCATTCCGTGCCGTTACAACGCCCATACTCACAACACTGATATAAAACATTTTAACATAAATTTTCTTTTTTTTTTTAAACTATAAGAAACTTTTTTCCCGTTTGCCTGCGTTCATTTGAGCGTTTCCATTTTACTTGATGAGGCGAAGAAAATCTTTCAAATACCCGTGCTACTTAGTTAAATATACTTGCGTTTGTACACCGGTGTAAGTTACCAACCAGCATGGTTCTAGATGCTTATGGAAGCAAAAAGAAATTTATGTTATATTACTACTACTACTTTTTTTTTTTTTCTTTGTTTTGCAGATTTCAGTTTATTTGATTCATTTTTTTCTTTTTAAAATCTTCAAAGCAGTAGTCGAACAAGTCGTTCGGTTGCATTCTTTGTATCATTTCTTTTTGTGAACATCATTTTAGCCATCGTTTTCATACGAACAAAAGAATATAATTCTTAAGTAATCTTGTGATGAAGTTATCTTTTGTTCGTGCCAGTCAGTTCATGAATGTTTGCAGAAAACTGTTCGAAACAGACAGACGGTCAGGATGGCTTGCAAAAATTGGATGAAAATAAGGTAGTGTTAACTGTTAGTACTGATAGCTGGAGAAGTCATCTTTTCAAGGTCATAATTATCACTCACTCCGTTACATATCTGGCCTCTTCAGAAACAGAAAATTCAGATTAGTTCAGTTCCTAAAATAACCACTCATAGTATACAAGCATGATATCTTTAAAACAGACTCAAAATCACGAATATATTCTATAGAGTATCTCTAAGTGTTACAGCCGCACAAAACCGAATTTTCGACTTTACTGTTACGAAGCTTTTTAGCTTTAGGACTATTCCGCAACCAAGGAAGCAAAATTTAAAAAAATTTTCCATCAACACTACACGGTTTTCCTGCCCCGCAACTCTTCCTTTTCAAAAAAATATATTCAGTGACAGCTAGATTACAGATGACGGTTTATGAAATCATGTAAAAAAAGAAAAGTTGTTTTATGCAATGAAACTTTAACCCATCTTTTGGAAACAGCTTTCTTCTGAATCCTTATCATATTATAAAAAACTGTTACCTAGCATGACTTTTTCTCCCAACCTTCCCTCCTTAAAAGAGGAACATTTTTATTTTTTCGCTTCTCCATGTAATCCACCATAAAGTAATCTGCAACAAAGATTTATATACCTGAAAAATAAAGGAGTTGCTCACTTCCATATTACTTGACATGGTGCATTGATAGCTTCATTAGTTCACCTAATGTTTTACAACGATTTCAAAAATGAAGCTCATTTGCTAAATTCATACACTCCCTGATAGACGAATAACAAAAGAAGGCGGGTTCTTTGTCTATTCACTAATTTCTTCTCCCGCTACCTCTCCAAGTTCTGTGCAAATTTAACAGTTCTTCTACAGCAAGTTCCTTGGTAACATCAACAAAGAAGTCGGAAGAACCCTCTGTTCAAAACCTTTTCTCAACAAATCATTTTAGTTCATAAATCACTAGAAACTTTATCTCGTGCTATCTGCTGACAAGAAAAAACTTTCTGACACATCCCCACCTTACTCTCCTTTAAAAATCAACTCAACGTCCATCAACTTGCACTTTATCATCAATTTCCACTTCCCCAATTCGTCACACTATTACTGCTGCAAGCAACAAATTTTCAAGCAACCCTATGTGGAGGATAAGACGGCGGATATGCAGACAAAGTAGTGAAAACTTCAGGTCTTCAAGCCGAAAACCACTTACAGCTACCCCTACTGCTAAGTTTTCAAAACTTACAAAAGTTCAGCTTCCCATCACTTATCTTGCTCTATTGTAAGTTTCAACAACTTTAGGCAGTGCAGTAATGTTTCTCTTTGTTGTTTCTTGATGTTTCTGGAAGTTCGGAGATGCAGACAGCTGCAAAGAAGGGCGTAATCAGTTCGCGTTACATGCTTTTGACATTTGTCTTTATTTTAGACCTCTACATAATTTGTAGGCGTTTTACGACTCTCTTTTTGTACATAGTCACATTTAAACGGTCACCGAAGTTCGTTATTTGAAATGTAATTACAATGTCCATATTGCACATCTCTAAATCTTTTTTTACTTTGCTTTCCGTCTAACACCTTTATCCGTATTGTCTTTATGCTTTATTTGAGATTCTTGTGTCGACATTTTCAGTTTTTATTGTTTTTATTGCTAATGAAGTCAATGAATTTGCTTGTGATCTAATATATACAAATTTGTATATATAAATATAAATTAAATATAGGTATAAATATAAATATAAATAAATGAATAAATAAATAAATA